GAGAGAGAGAGAGAGAGAGAGAGAGAGAGAGAGAGAGAGAGAGAGAGAGAGAGAGATGTTATATTACACATACTGTTTAAATAATAAATTCTCTTTTGCTTTCTGTTAGTTCTTGGGAAGACATAGAAATGGGGAGAGTGGCCAAATGCAGGATTTTGCTTTATATACTTTTAATTGTGGATTTTGAAAAGATAGAAATTATACTGGAGCCTTCAAGATGGGCTGCCTCTGAGAAAGGGTCAGCTATGCTGGTTTTACATGGGATTTCACTGTGGTTGTTTTAAGTGATAAATAAGTTGGGGCATACTGACTGGAGATGTATTTCCTGTGTAGTGCCTCACTGTGGATACTTTCCCTCTATAAGTTGTCTTTTCATAAGTGTTCACTTGTAACATTGGTGAGTCACATGTTACCCTGTGCTTCTGTATTGTGACTGGGAATTATTTGTGCTCACGACTCTAGGTATGGTGTCTGTGTTGGACTTAATGCAAGGAGGTTTCCCTTCAAGAGCCTCATTTCATGAACTCTATAATATGTACAAAAAGTACATGCCAGATAAACTTGCAAGACTGGATCCAAGGCTGTTTTGTAAGGTATAAATGCTGCTTCAATACAAATTTCTTAGCAAAAAATCTTTCCTATTAATTTCTAGTTGGAACTCAACTTTTCAAATCTGTTTTTCAGGCTCTTTTTAAAGCTTTGGGATTAAATGAAGTTGACTACAAGTTTGGGCTAACTAAAGTATTTTTCAGGCCTGGCAAGGTAAATATGTATTTATTTTAAACTTTAGCATATGATAATTGGGCTTGGTATGTATTTTCTTAGTTATTAGTGATTGATATTATTACTATATTACATATAACAGTGTGAAAATATGTTTCTATTCACACAGTTTTTCTGTTTGGGGGTGTTTCATATTCTGAGTTTAAATTTTAGTTTTAATCAATATTGGAATCAGAGCGTTGTTGAATTTTTTCTTAAATAAGGAATAACCAAATATCTCTAACATTTAATATCAGTTGAAAGCATTTCTAGAATATGTTAATTTTTGGACCAGTTAGATAGCTCAGTATGTAACCCAAGCTGGCCTATCTAATTGTCCCAGACTCCTAAATGCTGGGATTATAAGCATGTGCCACCTTGTTTGGTGAGGTTTCATAATATTTTGGAGTCTTCATTGTGAGAGAGTTTCACTGGACTGTGGTAGATATATAAAGCATATGAAATTGGACTGGAGTTTGTGCTAACTGTTGCCAAATTTTACGGTGAAGGGGTGTGTAAACACTACATAAATTTGGTTGTAATTTTTGGCTAACATAGATAGTGCTGTCATTGAGATAGTCACCGACTGTAGATTACTTCCTAGCTAACTGTATTCTGTACACAAACACCTAAGGCTGTTCACAAGTGTTTAATAATAACATTTCCACATCCCTAACATTTAAAACACCGACTTATTATTACTTCCTCAGAACCGTAAACCTAAGTGTTGTTATTGCAGCTAAATAACCAGTTGCACCAGTCCACTATGTCGAGCATCTTGAGGACGAGTTAATGATAATCTGATTTCACATTTGTGACCACCAGGTGGAAATGTGTGTTTGCACTAGAAGTAGGGGCTTTTCTCTGTGGTGTCCTTGTCACAGAACCCATACAATTTCCTATGAAAAGTTAAGAGAAAAAAATATAGATGCTCATGATTGGCTTCGCTTTACTTAGTGTTAGTTACCATAATTTCAACATTTCTCCCATTTCAGAGGTTTAGTAACTATTTTATTAATAGCTGGTTAGAGAAAGTACTCGGATTATTTACCTCCAGAAAGAGGAACAGGGGTTGTTGGAAGCTTAAAGCAAGCAGATTCAGAGTGTGTAGTCTTGTTATACCTTTAAAGTTTTTATGATTAAAAAACCATTCTGTTGACTGGCATGTGACACCTTTAATACTTCAGTGTGATATTTGGTGACAAATGGAAATAATTGTGGAATTTGGTGGTAAAGAGCAAAAGTAATACATTTCATTCATTAGTAGCCAAATATCCATTGCATTTGTGTGGTCTGTCTCTTAGTTGCAATTTCTTATTTTTGTCTAAAATGGGGGTGGGTGTTGGGAGAGACAACACTTTGGTGGCTTTCCTGTTATAGATGACCTTACTGTCAAGAACTGTGTGGGTGTCTGAGAACTTGCTCAGACATGTTAGCCCTTTTCAACATTTTCCCTCAAATATCTCTGTAATTAGTCATTTAGGAGTTTTTCCTTTTCCTTCTTTTGCTGCTCCCTAGGAATAAGTAACCTTCCTAAACTCCAAAAAAATTGCTAAAGGACAAAAGAAAAGGGCCATGACATGTGGCCAAAGAAGTTTACACTTTCTGCTTACCTTATTAAGATGTCCTTGGAATTGGCTTTCCATGATTTTCAGGAAGTTAGATTTGGAATTTGAAATCCATGTATTTTATTTTCTCTCTATTTGAACGCATTTACCCTTTAATGCTGACACTAAGGTATCTTACTCTTAGTTTGCAGAATTTGATCAGATTATGAAGTCTGACCCTGATCACTTAGCAGAGTTGGTAAAAAGAGTCAATCTTTGGCTAGTCTGTAGTCGCTGGAAGAAAGTTCAGTGGTGTTCACTCTCAGTCATCAAACGTAAGTATTTTCTCTCTGGCATAGTGTCACATTCTTTAATCCCAGCACTTGGCAGGTTGGAGTAGAAGAATCAAGAGTTCAAATCCTCGGGGTTGGAGAGATGACTCAGTGGTGAAGAGCATGGTGGCTTTTCCAGAGGACCTGGGTTTGATTGCCAGCACCCATGTGGCAGCTCACAGCTGTGTGCAGTTCAGTCTCAGGGGATCCAATGCCCTCTTCTGGCCTCTGCAGGCATTGCGTGTATGTGGTGCACAGACATAAAGGCAGGCAAAACATCCATATGTGAAAGAAAATTAAGGAAGTTCAAGGCCTCCTGGGCTACATAGCGAGGCTCTGTCTCAATAACAACAAAACCCCCAAAGTCCTCACCAAACTTTTTTTTTAAATTTCACATCAAGATTGGTTATTTTGGCAGTGAAATGGTCTGAGGGATGTTGTGAGGCTGTCTCCTGGATGCTACTGGACAGCTTTGGTTCCTGTTGTGTCTGATGTAATGGTTCCCCGGTACCTCAGCCAGCATTTGTAGACTTATTTTTATCTTTTGAAGGTCCGATGACATTTCCTATCTGAGATCTGTTCTAGGAGTGTTAATTTCTTCATGTCCTAAGCAATACAGAATTTACTCCCCTTTTCCCCCTTCCTCTCCTTGACCCCCAATACCTCCCCATTTTCTCCGATTTTAGCTGAAACTATTTTCTCTCTGCCTAAATGACATCTACATTAGACATTCTCAATAGATGATCTGTGTTCTGTCTGTCTGTCTGTCTCTCTCTCTGTCTTTATCCCCTCCCCCCTAGGCTATTTAATTTGAAGTGCTGTGTATTGAACTCTGGGCCTTTCAAATGCTAAGCAAGCTACACCCCTGGATTTCTCTCTCTTTTCTTATTCATGAAATCTCATTAGTTGTTAAATGATGTGGATTTTGGCTTCAGATAGTATAATCCTTTATTTTCACTGTCAGTTCCATAGTGCGGCGACCTCTTTTTATCACTTACATAATAACTTCATTAGTTCCAAAAATTGTTTACTGGCTCCCCGCCCCACTTATCTTTTTTGAACCAAAAGACTTTCCTAGCCCTCCTTCAATAGCTGCAAGGTTGGAGTTCCTAGACTTTCTTTCTGGACTGTAGTTGGGTTTTGGTTTATCTCGGTGGCCTCCCCTGCTCCTCCGCTCTCAGAATTCCTCTTCAGTACACCAGAGGAAGCTGAGCTTGAGTGCGTTTCTGCCACATTGTAGCAGCTGCTTACTTCTGCTCTAAAACATGAGTGAGTGCAGAATATTTTGGATTCCTTGAAGGTCATGGTGAAAGTTGGACTGTTGGGAGTTATATGAAAATCACCATGCTCCCCACACTTACCAGAGTACTTGAAACAATGCTGTGTATGTGGGGGTGGGCAGAGTTAGTAGAGAAATCTTCATTAACAGAAGAGTAAAATTCACTTGGTCTAGCACAAAGGAACTAGGCACATTATTATTGAGATCTTTTGCTAGACAACAGTGCCTGTTTATTAAAAAAAAACTATAATGAAGAAGAAAAGACAACAGAACCTCTTTCCCCATTATTTTCCAAGTAAACTGTAATTTTTTCCTGTGGGTTCCACGCTTTCACCTTTGTATATAGTACATTTTGGAGGAAAGTGTATGTTATTAAGCCCTTGTACCACATGTCTCACTTGTGGACTGTGTTGTAAAAATACACCATGGCCATTTACCAGATAGGATCTTTGCAGAATGTTAATTGGGAAGCTCTAAAAAGAAAATCTAGGTTCCAAGTATGCTAGGAAATTCTAGACACTAACAGTTGAAGACCCGTTTACTGTAGGATCCTTAGAGAGCACACCTGTAATGTTCAGTATGAGTTTCCAGAAGGAAGTAAACTGTATTTCCTAAACTCATTTGACAGGTTAACTTTTTAAAAGACATAATATTTATTAGAACATTTAATAGAAATATGGCCCCCAACAGTTTGGTAATAGTAATGTTGCATACTGTAGATACATTTGAAATATAATGCTAGCTGCATCAATCATTTTTCAAATTATTTTTTAAGAATTTACATTAGAAACATTAGACCTCACAGTTCTGATGGCTGGAATAACATATTTATCAAGATTTTATGAGAATTGCTTTGTGGAAATGAATGGGTTTTTAATTTATGTTTTATTTAAACCAAAATTTTTCTGTCATTTTACTCTTACACATAGTGAAAAACAAAATAAAATATCGAGCTGAAGCATGCATTAAAATGCAGAAAACCATTCGAATGTGGCTTTGCAAAAGGAGACACAAACCACGGTAAGATGAACAGTGTCTAAAGATCTATACAGCGCTACAATATAAAATGGCAATGAAGTCATGATGAAGAGCAGTTGGGTCCCGCTTTCTTTGCAAATGGCTTGTTTGTGCTGTGTATTCAGAATCAGCTCATTCATTACTTAGCTTGGTGTTCCACCAAAGGGTTTGAGTGCCTGGCAGAAATGTGAACACTAAAAGGTTGGAATGAAAGGCTGAGAGAGACTGCTCTTCTGGTTACTTCATGCTTTGGGTTTCTTGATGATGCCAAGTTAGATGCTGTGTTGGAAGACACTCAATAGCCTGATCATAATTTTCAAAAATGTTCATAAAATAATCTTGTCTTGCTTGTGTATCATTTCACTGTATATATTTCATTTTCATCTTGTTTAAAATTTGTATTACCAAGTAGTTTTTTAAGCTTTGAAAGTTTGAATAGCTATGGACAGCACACCTTTTCAAAGCAATGTGGGATCATTTGAGTTTTATAATTTAAATCCTCATATTCCAGTTTAAACATAGCCAGCCTTGATCTGATTGGCAGTTATCAATGCTGTTCATACATGTGTTTGATTCTTTTTTACTTAATGAGAGACCTGGACAGACTACTAAAGAGTCCTGAAGACAGAACTAACCTGCCCGGTTAGCCGCAGTGTTCACTTTCTGTCGATGAGAATCCTTCCCAGAACATTAGCTTGCGGGGTAAATATCTGATGGGGTCTTACTGTTGCAGCATTGATGGCCTGGTTAAGGTGGGCACTCTGAAGAAACGACTCGATAAGTTTAATGAAGTAGTAAGTGCACTGAAAGATGGAAAGCCGGAGGTGAACAGACAGATCAAAGATCTTGAAATTTCTATTGATGCTTTGATGGCCAAAATTAAGGTGGGTGATTTTAATCCAGCTGACTTTAACTTTTTTATAATTTGCTGATCTTTGTTATTGGTTTTAAACTTGTATAGGAAAATAAGATTATTTATTCAAGATGTGAAACATTAACAAGTAGATACATTAATTTTTTCTCAATATTTGAAAAATTTTGTATTAAAAAGATAAATAATCTTTATATGATTTTTATCTGTTGTTAGGCAAAATGTTCCCCCTCTAGAGAGTAACCAAAATACTAACCTTTGTTGTTAAGGTTTTACAGTCATGATTCACAGAGGGTTAATGTGAATTAATTTGTTTTATCCTTTCTACTTTCCAAAACCAATTTTTATTCTTTTGTATTTATTTTTCTTTCTGGTGGTGCTGGGGATTGAACAAAGTGCTGAGTATGGCGGGCAGATGCTGAGCTACATCCTTAGGCCCCAGAAAGGAAACTGCTAAATTATAAAATTAATGTGTCATTGTTGAAAGTGGCAAGAAAATCACCCAAAACTCTTTTCTAGCACCACATTAGGCATTCAGCTAGTATATGTTTGTATTTCCTTTATAATCATACTTTGTATGCATACATTTTTACATAGTTCTCTGCCATAATCATGCATGTCATTTTGTATCACTGCTGTTAGGATACATGATTTGTTGTGGTTAATAAATTACCTTCATAATTTACTTAGCTATTTTAAAAGTAGCAATACATTTTCTTCATTTTTTAAAATGAAAAAGTGGGGTTATTTTTGGTTTCATTTTCAATTGCTTGACTATTAATATGAAAATATTTCCTATAATGCTTGTTATCATATTTCGTCTTTTTCAGTTTCCCCAATTACATGTTAGTTAGGGTTCTATGGGCTTTTCTCAGGGAGCACTCAGAAGTCAACGCACTTAAATTAAACTTTTTGTAGTTCCTGTAGACAGGGTAAATATTAGAGATAGAAAGAAAAAAAATTACCAAGAAAAGGATGAAAATGCTATGAATCAAAAATTTAACCCAGGAAAATCATCCAACAGGTTTTGATGTAATTTCCCAATTGTTCCTTAGGTACTAATTAAATGCTATAAGTAAAGAAAACAAACTTTGACTAAATGAGATAGTCATTCCTTAAAAATAGTTTAAAGCTACGTTTATATAACACCATTCACAGCATGCTACAGCTCTTGATGGCTTGTTTGATAAAACCTAGAGTCAAGTATTTATGTGTGGAGATAGTGTTCAAAGAATGTGTGACTAGCTGGACACGGTGGTGTGCAGGGTAATCCTAGTGTCCATAGCCATTTCCAGGTTACCCTGGGCTATGTGAAACTGTTTTAAAAAAACATATATACGAACATGGATTTGATGGTCAGTTTTTCCAGCTCTTGATATGTATCTTAAAGTTTGTTTTAAATGTGAACCCCCACAAAACATTGAACTTATCATTGTGACCATTTGAAAGTGTACAGTTCAGTAATGTTAAGCATGTCCATATTGCGCAGAGGACGGAACTGCTTAAGTACATGTTTGTCATTTGGCTTTTCAAGTCCACCATGATGACGAGGGAACAAATACAGAAAGAGTATGACGCGCTGGTTAAAAGCTCAGAAGAGCTCCTCAGTGCACTGCAGAAGAAGAAGCAGCAAGAGGAGGAGGCAGAGAGGCTGAGGCGCATTCAAGAGGAGATGGAGAAAGAAAGGAAGAGGTGTGAAGAAGAGGAGAGGCGCCGGCACAAGGAGGAGGAGGAGAGGCGGATGTAAGGCGTTTGCGTGTTCTGACTGGAAGTCTCCAGGGTGATGGATGATGGCTGTCCTAATACTGTATTCCTACTCAGATCAGAGGATTATGAGTTTTTATTTATTTATGTTTTTTTTTTTTTGTGACAGGGATTCAACATGTAGCCCAGGCTGGCCTGGAACTCTCATCCTCCTGCTCTAGCCTTCTGAGTGTGCGGTATACTTACACACCAACATGCCTGGTACAAATTGAACAATTTTAGAGTGAGTTTGAAAAAAATTTAATGCTCATTTTATATAGTTGTATGAAACTGTTAACTACAGGTTGGATGTTCCTGACATGTAAATCTGGAAACTGAAAAAAAATATCTAAAGTCTGAAAAATTTTTGTTACGTTTGTGTGTGTGTGTGTGTGTGTGTGTGTGTGTGTGTGTGTGTGTGTGTATGTGTGTGTGTGTGTGTGTGACTTCTTTGCCATGGTGTGTATATAGAAGTCAGAGAGCAACTTGTGGGAGTTGGTATCCTCCTTCATCATGTGGTTTCTTGGAATCAGTAGTATCAGTCTTGGTGGCAAGTGCCTTTACCTTCTGAGCCATCCTATTGGCCCTAAAGTCTGAGACTTTTTGAATGAGTGGTAGCACAAACACTTAATTTAATACAATCTAGCTTTATTTTCTTCCTTGGCTTTTGTGGACAGGGTCTTTTAGCCCTGGCTGACCTACATTTTGCTATATAAATGCATATAAATATAAAATAAAATATATAAGTCTGGATGTCCTCAAACTTGTGGCGATCCTCTTGCCACCGCCTCTCAGTGCTCTGTCTATGGGCATGAGCCACCCTGCCCAGAAAATTTTATTTTGTTTAAAACATATTAACCATACATATTAATGGGATTTGTTTGCTACTAACATACATGTGTAGTGTGCATTTGATGTACCCACATACTCCTTTTCTCTTCCTCCCTGTCTCTTACCTGGCAAGCATTCTGTAGCATCCCTGGAAATCACTACTCTGCTTTCAGGTAGAGTTCTCTCTTTTCCTTAAGTTCCCCCATAAGAGAGAACACACGGTTCCTGTGTTTCCTGGCTTATTTCACTTAACACGATGTCCTCCACTTCTATCCATTTTGCTGTAGATGGCAGGATTTCATTCTTCATCCTCTGCTGTGCTCCTGGGCTAATTCTATATCCTAGTCACTGTGAATACATGCTTCTGTTAACAAAGGCATGCAGGTTGCCCTTTTATATGCTAACTTCATTTCCTTGGGCTGTGAACTCATGGTTTCCAAGTTAATCTAGAAGTGCTTTACGTTATGGAAGATGATTGTATTTGCTTTATTTAAGAACTGTTTAGGGGAGTTAAACTTTATGGTATTTGAACCAAGTTGATGATGCGTGTGGTCTGAGGCTGGCTTGGGTCCATCCTGCTCTCTGATGCTTGTTCACTTCTAGCCTGTCTGTCTTCTGAAGGATTTCTCATAGTTAAAATTTTGAAGAGTTCTCTCTCCCATTCTTAGGAAACTTGAGATGGAAGCGAAGAGAAAACAAGAGGAGGAGGAAAGGAAGAAGAGGGAAGACGATGAGAAACGGATCCAGGTATGTGCTCATTGGACTGTGTTTCTATGAAATAGAATCCACAAGTGACGAAAAGACTGAAGCAAACTGGCTTGCCAGAGTAGCTCTCACTGGTTTACCCCAGGGGCTAAAGGCTAATTCTGAAGGGAGTGTGAGGTGGGGCTTTGGTGCTAGGGAAGCGAATTCAAATCCAGGCTTCGTCACTAACAGAAATGGAGACATTATATATATCACAGTGAATTTCTCTTTGTAGAGTGGGGATAAATAATAGTTATATTAAGTGAGTTTTTACATGTTAAAGCTTATAGAACAATTCCTAGTTCAGTAAGCGTTAGTATTGTTACTGCATTGAGGGGAAATTCAGCTAAGCATTCACTTAAATGTGACCTTGGGAACCAGAAAGCATTATGTTAAGTGAGGTAACTGAGGGTCAGGAAGACAAATACATGTGTCCAGGTGGGACTAAGTGTGGGTTCAGGCCAGTACACTAGAAAGGGGCCATGAGACACGAAAAGGAGATGTTAAGGGATAGGGAAAGACAATAGAACAGAGTGGCAGAGAGAATACTGGGAGAGAGGGGGTGCAGGGGGAAAGAGGACAGAGAGATAAGGTAGGGATGGAGAAGTCAACCCCAATGAAATATGTATAAAAACCCCATATGGAAATCTCTTACTTCATAGTAACAAAGTTAATCACAGAAAAAGGGGGTATCAGTTTGAGAGCAGAGGAGACATGGAAGGAGTTGGAAGGAGGGGGCATGGGAAGGTCTGCAGGGATGATAGGCAAGGGGGAAGTGATTCAATAATAATAAATAATAATAATAATAATAATAAAATATATTTTAAAAATTAAAAACTTGCTTAAAAATAACTTGAGTGTTTTGCAGTGTTATTTTGTAACTATAAATAATAATATGAATGAGTTAGTTTTAAGATAGTCCTCAACTCCCAGTTTGGTTTTTTGTTTGTTTGTTTTTCTTTTGGAGACAGGGTTTCTCTGTGCAGTCCTGGCTCTCCTGGAACTGCTCTGTATACAGAGATCCACTGGCCTCTCCTTCCTAAGAGCTGGGATTAAAGGCCCGTGACCCTACCACCTGGCCCTCCACTCCCAGTTTTTAAAGAGGCCTGTCTGAGAATGGTTGCTCAGGTTTCTCTTGTCTGGCTTTCATAGTATATGCTTGTAAGTGGAACAACCACCATTCAGTCCTGCATCCTCTGCACATGTGTTGTTGTTAGCGGCCGATGCTCACGTGACACTGGGGATACTCGTGCTGTGGTCACAGCATGGCGGAGCCCTGCAGCTTCATTTGGCTTTGGGGAAGTGAAGCATTAATGATATCACGGGGCGGCGGGGGTTGGGGGGTGCACTTTGTAAGAGTGAGAGACTTGTGTTTAAGCACTGTCTGTTAGTAGAGAATCTGGCCCGGGCCACTAAGCTTTCCTCGGTTTGAGGTAACAATTGTGAGGATGAAGAGCTCTTGCTAGGTGTGGCTCTCTGTGCTGCAGGCTGAGGTGGAGGCCCAGCTGGCCCGGCAGCGGGAGGAGGAGTCCCAGCAGCAGGCCGTCCTGGCACAGGAGTGCAGGGACCGCGAGTTGGCCCTGCGCATCGCCCAGAACGAGTCTGAGCTCATCAGCGACGAGGCGCAGAGTGACCTGGCGCTCCGAAGGTACTGGGGCTCTGGGTCGACCCTGGCTGGGCTTGCCTGAGCTTCCTGCTTCTCATCTCTATTTGAAGAGGGCCAGGAGAGAGTCGGAGGTTTTAGGTTTTGACATATTGGAAGTAAAAACATTTTAAAGTTAGTTGGGTACTTTTGTACTTAAATGAATGAAACAATTGATTTCCCATTTAGTTATTGAACTGTTAAAACACAAAACCCCAGCTATCACTTAATGGTTGTTCTATTAAGAACAAAACTCAGCTTTATTTCTGAAGTTGTTTAAGGCCATTGTGTACTGGGTAGAAGTTAGTTTCTAATACTTGTTAAATACTGACATAGAAGTTAGAGACTATATTATAGTGCCGCTTAATACATATAAAGTCTTTGGTTTCCTAACACAAATTTGAAACAATACACCACATTCTTAACACTGCAGTGAGGTGCAGTTTACCCTCCCGTGCCTCAAAATAAGAACGATTCCTTTACAAGGAGGAAAGCCGATCTTACAGAATTATTTTAGTTCCTTAGATTCTGAATTATGTCTAGATACTATGGTGGACCAAGTTACAGAAAAGTTAATATTTCTCATTTAAGAACTTTAGAATATAGAAACAGTTATTTTGATTATTCGTTTAAAAAGGCATAACAAATTTGTGAGGGGTATATGCTTTCTATATCCCGAGATGCGAATAGACATTGTAACCTTGGTTTTCAGACTTAGCTGGGGTATATTAAATTATAACCACTAGATGGCGCTATTTGCTTGTAAAAGGAAAGGCAGCGCCATTCAGGTGGTTAGATTTTATATAGGGGCAAAGATGGTTTTCATTCATTTGTTATCACAAGTTTTTCCAGCCTGTGATTATTTGAGCAGCTCTGGAGTCTGAACTGTATATTAAAGTATACGACACTATAAATGAGATGGCTAGGACTGTACACACAAAAGTGACTGTAATGATTACATAAATTATATATGTAATATATATGTATATACATGGCTTCTGCTGTACTAAACGTTTCTTAGTTACTTTTTCAGCTTAAGTTCCTGTCCAGCAACTTCTAAGTAAGATTTGTTTGCACACATGTAATATGTTTTCCAATATCATCTTAATCCTTTACACTTAAGATCCTTGATACAAACTGATAACTTGAAATCACATGAAATTATAGACACATCCAAATTTCTATTAACACCAAATCTCACAGCATATGAATGTCTGAATTTTCCAATCTTAATATATTTGCTCTTTAATTTTTTTACTAATTCCATTAATTTAGTATTTCACAATCCTTCCAATGACTATTTTAAAAACACATTAAAGTCTTAATGATCTTATGTAGATTAAATATAACTTGTAGTTTTAAATCAACGAGTAATTAAAACACAAATTTACCTAATCCAGATTTTTACAGTTCAGAGCTGGTGGTGATATTAACCAAAACATATTCTTTTCACAGAACTAATGGAGCAAGACCCCAAATGACACCGTATGTCATATCTCTTCGTCTCTTTAAAGATTGGGTTTATTTTTTGAGAAGTAGTTCCTTCCTTGGAGTAAATTTTAAATTGCTTCCTTTTATCAAAAGACAATGAAATATTTTTTTCCTACTTTTTCTTGCCTAAGGGAAGTGTTTGGTGCTCAGCCATAATAGCTTGTGAATTTTTTTCTACTGTTGTTTCAACTTTAATACCAACTTGTTTTATGTGTTGTAAATTCACTCTAACATCTTTATAGCAGGTGTGGAAGAGTAAGAATAATTAAAATAGTTTTCAGTGTATGTGGTGATTAATGCTACTAGTACCTGAAGTGGGTCTCCATCGGAGGTTTGTAGGTAACACTTCTTTCATTGTAAGTTTCCTCACAGAGAGAGGCTCTTAATAACACTGGAAAATAACAGAACATACTGTACACATTTAAGGATGTTTATACAACCTGAATTTTAACAGGGTTAAGCCAGTTCTCGACTGTATTGGACTGCAGCATCAAGAGCAGGTGTTTCATAAACAACATGGACTGTGTCAACAGCTCCCTGAAGACACATGGGAAGGAGAAAGGGCAGCCATTCACAGTGAAATGTTAATTATGGTGCTTGCATAGTTGCTATAGAAGACATGACCCATGATCAGATGTTTCTTCTTACATAGAAAATCCCCATGAATACTATAGCTAGAAATGGAAACTGATAGGAGACTGTCTCATGAGCTCCAATGCTACAGCATCACGGACATTCCTCTCCAGACTTTCAAACAAAACTAGGCATAATCTCTTCTCAGTTATACAATGTTTGCATCTGCATAAAAGCTGTGTATTAAAGAATAAAAATTGTGCATAGAAACTATGCAGAAATATGTTATTAACATCGAAAACAATTTGCATGTAAAATGTATTTTTGTGCGTATGCTTCACTTTTATGTGTCCAGCATACATGTTGATCTTATGTGGGTCAGAGGACAGTTCCTGTGCAGGACACTTACGTTCCTGACCCAACATCTCAACAGGCACCAGGACTGCAAACTTGCAGCATTGTTATTACATAAGCAGCAACCAGAAATTCAGAATACATGCTGAGTGGCCACTGTTTGCTCTCCCTCCATTAGAACAACTACTTTATAGTTGTCATGTGAGCTTGCTAAGTCAACACTGTAATTAATGTCTAAGGTGAAACTGCAAGCATTTGCAGGTAGCTCAGCACAGCCAGAAGGCGAAAGTACCTAGAAACCAGGGCCAGTGTGGCTCAGCGAATCGCCTGTAGTTGGTGAAGAACCTGGTGTAAAATTAATGAGGATCAGGGAGAAAAGTGACTTGGTAGAAGTTGTCTCTTGGAGACATTTCTCCAAGATCAACAGACCGACCATGTGATAAGAGCTTTGAAAAGTGATTTGACTTCTTGGAAACCTGCTATGAATAAACAAACAGATGGAAGGCACTTTAGGAGAAAGAGATGGTAAAAACAGACAGAAGTTTTGAGGCAGAAAGAACAATAGAATTACACATATTTAAAAAACTATACTTTTAGAAAGTTACAAAATTATGACAAACTGATAGTTTTAGGAGAGATGGATGGTATATTGCTGAAAAGATAATTTTATTAGATTATATGTGCATAGTTTATTTCGTGGGTTTCCTCTTTGCTGGTCAGCTTCCACAAGTTTAGTGTCTCCTACTGTGCTTGCTTGGACAACTCTCCACCAATACCACACACACACACACACACACACACACACACACACACACACACACACACACACACACTGAATGCAAACCCCTGCCCCCTAAGCAGAGTTCCAGCTCTTTGCAGGCATCTAGGAAACTGTACCCACAGCCAATTCATCCATCTTTTTAACTTGTGATTTTTATTTATTTATTTTTTTTACTGAAGTGCTTGTTGGACGAATAGAACATATATGAAAACGATTAATTGTGAAGGGGAAAAAAAGCAAAGGACAGGGATGAAATGAAATCAAGAAAGTGTTGGTTTCTTGAGCCCGATGAAACTGTCACTCTGCTTCACAGAATTAAGCAAATGCTGAGAAAAGTGACAGTCTCCTGAGTAATTAAAGAAATAGCAGCTTTTTCTTTTAGATGTACTTATCCTTGCAAGGTCAGACTGCATCAGGTATTTCATTTAACAAGTGCTTGTATTGATTTTCTTCTTTCCTTTTTTAAATATACACTCTGATTTGGAACTGAAGATCTCTAGACTGTTATTCGAGCCTATCAGCTTGGTTTACCCCCATGAAGCTTTGTCTAACTAACAAAAATGCACTAAGCATCTTTGGTGCAAAAATCCTTGTACAGCATCTACATCCTGCCAAGTTTTCTGCATGCATTTAGAGTATGCTATTTATATTCTGCACATAAAAAATACCACCGAAGCATGGCCCTCATGAAATTTTATCTGGAGGTTTTTGCACAGTGATGGAGATGTGTTCAAATAATTTTAAACCCAAAGATCTTGGCATGTTTTATGGGTAGAATTATGGGAAAATATGTCATTAATAGATACCTTGCAAAGTAAAGTGAATAGTTACAGTATTGATAATATTAAAAATGAAGTATATTTTCATATATTTTAAGCAATTTATGTGATGTGCTTTATGTATAATTGTGTTATATTATCATATTTTTTCTTATAGGGAACAAATGGCCAAAGAAATGTCAGAAATTTTGAGTAGGTTAGTGCAGTGTGTTTACAGAAATAAATACTTACTACAAAAATCATATTTTTAATTTCCTTTTGATTATTTGGACTAGAACTTGTTGTATGAAATATGGCATGTAACATTTCTGTATGAGAAATAACATCCTAACACAGAGAGAAGCAACATTCTTCTAACCCATGTTTCTCACTGAGGACACAGCTGGCATTTGGGATGGGGCAAGTCTTCACGGGGGCTGGGTTGTGCTCTCAGTCTCACCCCATGGCATGAGTACTTTGGAACCCGCCCTGGGGATGGGAGTGCTATAGTTTGGGAGCCACATGGGCTTGCCGAGGGGGATGTAAGCGTGTCTCTTAAACACGAATACCAGTTTAAAATCCACTGGTGCAAAGTGAATTTCCAAATAAAATAACCATAATTTTTTTGGGGGGGGGAGTTTGAGCCTAGCCTTTAATGGCTGTGCTATTTCTCCAGCCTTAGTTTATAGTTTATAAAAGTAGAATTGAATGAACACTATTCAGTCAACTTTAAATTTTCAAGATTAATTAAAGTGCTAAGTTAGTAGATCTTAAAAGTCAAGTAAATTCTATTACTATTTTAATGTTTGTGTGATTGTCTTTATGATAAGGCTAATCAGTAGATTATACTTTTATTTTATGATTTTAATAATACAGAGATGGGGAGAAGAGCATTTTCATGCTTAAGTTCATTTACTACTTCTAACTCCAAATGTGTTTTTAGCAGGTTTAGTAATATGAATGAAAAGCTAGTATTACATTTTATGCGATAATAATTTGAATTCAGTATTTTTTTCAGAATGTATCAAAGCACAATACACACATGTACACACACATATGTATATACTAGTCTCTTCTATATATTTGACTATCAAACTATATATTATATAAGTTGACTTTATTTTCAAAACAAAACAGAAAAACATAATAATTTTCAGTTACTGTCCTAGAAAACATTCTTAAAAGAGTAAGAGGAAAAAGTGATTTTTTTTTCTTTTAGCCACTTTACTGGATGGCAGCTTAGAGATGTAGAAAAGATTTTCATAAGCATTAAAAAATAAAGCACTGGTAAGAATAATAGTTCTTGCAGACACAGAGCTGGCTCTTTAAAAAATTTTTACTGTGTACTCATTGTACACATATGCGTTCCATAAGGACATTTTCATACAACTATCTGTTGAGCATATTTCTGCCATATCCCACCCACTCTTATTTTGCCTGTCCCTCCTGTTAGTCCCTTTGTCCCCTAGACAGTTAAATGTCTACTTCCATTTCATAGATACATACATGATTTTATTTATCTGTATAAAACTCAGAAATCAAAAATAAGAGAAAATGTGATATTTATCTTTCTGAGACCGACAATTCATTAATGTGATTCTTTCCAGTCACATACATTTTCCTGCAAATCCTGACATAATTTGGTTCTATTGTTGGAGGCCTAGGTTTTCTCGGGAGCTCACACTTGACTCTTAGGGCTTAGGCTTAGGAATGAAAAGCTATACGCAAAATTGCCAGTTATACAACTTGGTAGAAATGCAGATTCTGCAGTAAAACAGATGTCAACCATAAAATGAAGGAAGTTATACTAGGACCTGTTATTGGTCGGTCGCTCCTACATATGTGAGGTCACTGTGTCAAAGAGTTTTAAGTATGTAGCAAGAAATATGCCATTTTATCCCCCAAAATATACACATAGGCCTTTAAAGGAGGCAAAGGTATCTTACTTCATTTTAAGTTTAATAGTAAAAGTGTAATTTCTATCATCTCAGGAAAGGTGATATCTTTTAATTTTTTTTATTTTGTTGAAAATAGATTTTTTTTTTCAAATAATGTATCCTGATTTACAGCTCTCCCTTTCTCTACTCTTCCTGGTTCCTCCCCACCTCCCCTCTCACTGGATCCTTTCTGTCTCTCATTAGAAAACAGATAGGTTCCTAGGGGATCTTAATAAAATAAAATATAACGCGATGAAACAAGCACCTCCAGTAGGACAAAACAAATAAGCAGAAGGAAAAGAGCTCAAGAAAAGACACAAGAAGGATGTTGTATTTTCAAAGAGGGTTTTCCAATAACGTCAGTCACTCAGTGTCTCTATCTCGGCCAGTTTGCTGGGATGGCTATTCTTTCAAAATGTAAAATGGCGAGAGATGAGCACATGCTCTCAGGAAGCTTGCCTTCATTGTCCTTTTTAAGAGGGAGGTTTTCCAGGTAGAAGATGGTAAGGGTGGGGTGGGGCTTACTTGTGTGATACCCAAGAGGCGGGATTTTAGCTCCTCAGTGTTTATTTACCATAACATCTGTGTTCCTTCTTTTCATGTTTTGAAATCTGATGTGTTTAACCTCTTTCTTGGTTACATTGAGCTTACAATAAATCATGAAGCTTGACTCTGAGTGCCTGCTCCTTAGTCAGTATATTTCTTGTTTAAATATGTAAAATTTATGATTACAGAGGTCCTGCTGTACAAGCTACCAAGGCAGCTGCTGGTACCAAGAAACATGATCTTAGTAAATGGAAATATGCAGAACTACGTGATACTATCAATACTTCTTGTGGTGAGTGCAGGGAGAAGATGAAGAGGAGGGGTCTGTACCAGTGCCAGTAAGATAAATCCCTAGACTGGAGTGTGTGCGTGTGCATACGTGTGTGTATGCGTGTGTGTGTGTGTGTGTGTGTGTGTACAAAGTACCTATGCCAGCATATTTGTTATTCTTTGTTCCCTTGAAAATGAAGACATAATTTAGCCACAAAATCAAATGAAAGATATGTATTCTAGTTTCCTTCCTGTTGTTGTGATAAAATACCCTGACAAAAAGGAAGTCAGGGAGAAAGGGTTTATTGTTGCTCGTAATTCCAGGTTACAGTCCATCAGAGTGCAGGACAAGGAGGCTAAAACAGCTGGTATCACACCCACCATCAGGAGCAGAAAGAATAAATGCGCACGCTGTACTTGTCTGGCTTGTTCACTGTTACACAGTCCTGGTACAAACCTAGGGGATGCTGCTGACCACGATGGCCTGCACCTTCTCTCAGCAGTTAACACAGTCAGGACAGTCTCCCACAGACATGTCCACAGACAGACTAGCCTGATCTAGCCTGTGTCTCTTTGAGACTCTTTTCCCAGGGGATTCTAGATTATCTCAGGTGGACAATTAAAACTAGCCACCTCAGCATGATTATTGAATTAAATGCATTTGCCCATTTCTTACCTAGGTCACAGAAAAGGAACAAATAAAAGTTATGACTTGGGCTATATTGGTGACTGGTTCTTCTAATGCTAATCATAATGGTTAAATAGTTGGCTATCTGGATCTTTTCTATGAAGCCAGAGTAATGAATAACAATGTAACCATTCCTTTTTTATCTTGCTTCCCCCCATCCCCCAGAGAAGAACAGTTCATATGAGAGACTATTCAGAGGCTCACACAGTTAGAGTCTTGTTTTTTTTTTTTTTTTGGTTTTTCGAGACAGGGTTTCTCTGCGTAGCTTTGCGCCTTTCCTGGAGCTCACTTGGTAGCCCAGGCTGGCCTCGAACTCAGAGAGATCCGCCTGGCTCTGCCTCCCGAGTGCTGGGATTAAAGGCGTGCGCCACCACCGCCCGGCTAGAGTCTTGTTTAAACCACAGTGTTTAAGGTCAGGACACTGACTAGTGATGGGGAGCTCTTGCTATGTTCCTGTCCTCTGAGAACAGCATCTTATAAATGTGAAAATGTGGTGCATTTAACTCTTGCTTGTATTTGAGCACATTTATTCCTTTTAAAAACCTTTCTGATTCTATTTCTTCATATAAAAATACCTATTTAGTTTAGAGGTGAACAAATGATATAGGATAGTAATAATATGTAATTAATAATCTGTAACTGTGAAAGATTGTGAAATGTTCACTTTTTGCTCACTTTTTATCTTGCACTGTAAATTAAAAACCTGTTATATACACCTGTTTATGGCTATGGAATAATTATGTCAGATGAATCATTTAGGATGTTAATTTTTCTTTCTATGTAATCAATAGATATTGAGCTCCTGGCAGCGTGCAGAGAAGAATTTCACAGGAGACTGAAAGTGTATCATGCTTGGAAATCCAAGAACAAGAAGAGAAATACTGAAACAGAGCAGCGTGCTCCCAAGTCTGTTACTGATTATGGTAAAAACAAATCTGTACTTTTCAATGTTCCAAGTATATTATATATAAATGCATGTAGCTATACATGATTTTTTTGAGTAAAATAGTCAACATAAATTTCTCATATTGTGATCTAGTGAACATGATACAACCATGATGACCTGTCTTATAAGAAGTTATACAATACTAAGTATATAGTTCCACACATAAACGCATACGCACACACGTCAGTATTATGTGTGGAGGGCTGGTGATATGCTGAGACCAGTATTTGCCTGGCATGTGCTGTTCTCAACATAGCAAAAAGTCTAAACAAACAAAATGCTTACATGTGAATATGTCAAGGTTACTATTTACTATGATCAGTTTATTCTGGATGCCCATGAGCTTACATATGAAAATTAGCATTTTTATATTGTTAACCAGGGTCTCATTTTGAAATTTAATCTAGCTCAGTTTTTAGAGTAGTTCTTCAAATAACTAAATATACTTATATTTTTAATATGGAGATATACATCCCTTCTGGTGCCTTCATGGGATAATGGCCTAGTAAGGAAAGAATTGGTTCTTGTTCTCCACTACCATGCTGTCTTATTTAAAAAAAGGTTCACTGAAAATTTGATTTTATAATATTGTGAGTTTTGCCCAGATGCAGGAAACCACGTGTTCACTTGAGCCAGAAAGTGGGCAGTGCAGGCTCACCAGAGCATGGCAGACTGTCACGATGGCTCAGATGACCTGCAATATGAGCTACATCTTCAGTTTTTAAAAAGGTTTATTTTTGTCTTGTGTATGGGTGTTTTCCCTGGATGTATGTGTGTGCACCACAGGTGTGCAGGCCAGAAGAAGGTCTTGGATCCTCTGGAACTGGAGTTACAGATGGTTCTTAGTTGCTGTGTGGGCTGGGCATTGAACCTGGGTCCGCTCAAAGAGCAGCCCGTGCTCTTAACCACTGAGATATCTCTTCAGCCCCAGTTTTTTAAAATTTACAACAGTAACTGGAATTTCATGTGTCACCTTGATACTTTTATACCATCATAATTTTTCTTAATTCAGATTAGCATCAAAGTTAACACTTGACCGTGCGGTTTAGCAATGTATTGAGCTTGAGTTCTTGGGTGTCGTTTTAAATTCTCACTGCTTTCCAGGGAAATAAATGTGATATTTAATCAAATTCAGTTAAGGTAGGACCTCAGTGCTTCTCAGTTGTAGCAGAGAGTTGTTGAGGTTGTTATCGTTGATAAGGGAGACAGTGCTGGTGACTCTTCAGGGTCTGTTTTCGGCAAATTTTAATAGGATGAGGGCGTGGGGGATCATCTAGAGCTGAGATATGGTCAGCTTTGAAAGGTTGAATGACCGTGAGTTCAAAACTCTCCTTCAACGTTTTCTCTGTATTGGAAATGACAGTATGGCTTTATGACCTGTTCATGGTTTATGTATTAAGGTTTTGCCAGAAATCATGTTTGTTTTGTATATAACCCATGCCCCCCCCCCCCCCCACACACACAAGAAAAGCAAATGGGCTCTTCCTTTAGCTCTACTGTTCTTCGCTGTAAACATTTTATGATCACCTTTACCTTGACAGATTCTCACTGTCTTGTGAAATGCACACATCTGAGTAAGGAAACCACAAATGAAGGGGGTTTTGAATCGAACTTTGCTACTTTTATTTTTAATCTACTTTTGTCCCCAAATGGAGCAAATAACATCTTGCTGCTGTAAGTACAGTATTAGGTCAGGAAAATTTCTTAAGAGTCCTATCCAGGAGTAAAAGCAAGCAAGAATTTTACACACCTACAATCAATATATTAGCATTCAGAAAGTTTTTAGAACAAAAATCTACTTCTGCCTGTAAAGCAAGTATCATCTTTTCTCTGTGTATTTTTCTTATATAAGATTCAGTCTGACACGGGAAGGAATGTTCCAGAAAGGAGAGGTGAGAGGTGTCAGGGTTAGGGTCATAGGTCAATGGAGAAGAGTCTGTGCTGTGTAGGCTTTGTATTTAGATGTATTGAAATTCATTTGAAAATGTAAAATGAGGACACTTTATAATTCACAAAAACAAAACTTGGTGTCCTTGAGCATAAGAGTAATATATTGATAAACTTTGGTAAGTTTTACAGCAATGAATAAGGAGCATTTGTCCCCTTTCCTGGGCTGACTGATAATGCTCATCTCATTTACCACACAAAGAGATTTTCATAAATAATTTTGGACAGTGGCAAATCACCTAGTGAGTATTTAAATTGCTTCAAACCATGATTTTTGAAAATCATTTAATCCAAGTTTCTATAATAAAATACATAAGTTTAAGATTTAAGTAGTTTGAAGAAATTAGAATATATTGACTGTCTGAAAACAGCACTGCTCGTTATTATTAGTTAGGGTTTCAAGTCCTAAAATTATAAATGAAGTAAATTTTTAAATTTCTGTACTCTTCACCTGTGCCTCAAACAGAATTTCATAAACTATAATTAATTATTTATGTTGCCTCCCTCCCTCCCTCTCCTCATGTCTTTCTTTCTTCTATGCTTTCTAAAGCGATTTTTAAAAATCAGAGCACCATGTATGTGTAGACCAGTCTTTGAGTTCTTTGCTACTGATAGAATATTTGCATGTTGGTCACCACCTGAGTTGATGGGACAGATTTACAAATTAGAAAAATGCTCATTCATCAGCTTTGGCATTGTCATCCTTTCCTCAACATACAATATTTGTTCACAGATTTTGCGCCATTTTTGAACAATTCACGTAAGTCAATGGGTGGTAACTCATGAACTAACTGGAAGAGGGGTTAACATACTCTATAGAGCACTAACTTTCTGCCAAGCACCGTTTTGCTACGTTGTAAGTGGAGTTGTAGCATATTAAAGACACCTGCCTACATTACGATATATCTTAACTTGAGATATGATACATTTTCTCAGATCAATCCAAAACATGTGTGCAGAACAATGATTGACTGAATGATGGTATCCTCTGCCCAATTTCATGCATTTAAAACTGGGTGTGTATACCACTTACTGTAGCAAAATGCTGTCTTCACTTCCCAGCTGACCTTCTAGAAGAAAGACTAACTCTTAGGTGCTGGTTGCAGATGCTGCGCTGTGATGGTACCTGTGTTTCTGTCCAGGGAGATTTGAGTTCTTTGTAGTAATATGTACAAATTTACTAATGACTCCTACAGGAAGAGGGAGATAACTTCCTGTGATGCACATTTCCTTCCATACTTTAGAGACTTTGGACCACCTTTACCTATAGTAAGGTCCTTGAGTTGAGCAGTTATATTCATTTGCCAGCCTGCTGGGCCTGATTTTTCTAAGTGCTTCCTACAATTTATATTTTTGTTTTATTGTTTGAAGCATTGATTGTCTCACTGTTAGCTATCTCAGACTGGCCTCAGCCTTCCAAGCGCCAGGGCTTATTTCTTTCCCTCCGACTTTTAAAGTGGGCATGGTTGGAGGAAAGCAAACTGTTGAAAAGATTGGTGGCAAGATTTTAATGTCTGGTGTTTTAAACTTAACCAAAGTTCCTCACTCTTTTCAGTAAAATTTAAGTCTCTTGTTACTAGAAAAGGCTATTTTACTCAGCGTATTAACTTCAGGAGGCAGTTATCTTAGAAAATAAGTTAGTGAATAGAGACTGTCAATGTCCTAGTAAATTTCCAATCACTCATTTACTACCCAGAAGGGTTGGTGTTTTCAAATTATTTATTACTTAATTTTTCGAGGTGTGCGGGGGGGGGGGGGCTACTTCGGTAGCCCTGGTTGGCCTAAAGCCAGTGTTTCTAAACTTCAAGTGTGATCACTGAGTTGCCAAGAACAATGGACAGACCAGGAAGAGAACACAAACCCATCTTGATTTCTGTGCTGAAGGCCATGCGGGTCCTAATGTCTCTAACAAAACTGGCCCCTCATTCTTTCACAGGCACGTGTGGCCTTATGTGCTTTTTTGCTTTTTCTGATTTGCAAATAAATAAATCTAACTTTCCATAAGCTGTTGCTGTTTCTTGGGGCAAAAACTAGAGCAGGAGTATTTTCATCCTGTTGGTGTTTTTGCAAGTTCTCAGAAAAGCCATGTGGCTGTGCGTGGTTTTTATGTGTTGTCTACTCTTTCCTGGATGCTCTTTGGTTTTCATACTGAGGTTCTTAGGACTGTAGTAAATCGTTGTCTACTTTCAAAGCTAAGATATAAAGCATGTAAACAGCCTCACCTGAGTTATGCTGCCCAGAATGTGAAGCCATTGCTCTAGGAAAGTGTTTACATTTGCACACTAAATAAAAGCCCAGTCATTCAGTGCTGAATTGAGCAAGGCTTAGAACTAGTTAAAAAGGAAGAAGTTTTTCTTCCTGTTGGCAAGGAAACCCATATAGGATTCACATTCCACTTATTTCAGTGGGTTTTCTGCAAGAGAAATCTCATTTCAAAGTGAAATTTTTGAGGAAAGGGTCATACTTACTGCTATAGATAGAGTTTTTTGGGGGGCAGGTTTATCTCAATACTGTTATCTGTGCTATCTTGGCCTTTAAAAAACCCAAAGTAAGTAAAAAAGAAAAATTTTGAATGGATTTTTCTTTTTGAGGAAAATATAATTAAGCGAACAATCTTTCTAATTTTAAAATTGCTATTTACTTATTTTTAAGTAGTCAAATATAAGTTATTCTTCAACTTTAACTTGAAATCCTGTAGGAAAAATAATACTAGACTGTTTACCTGGTATGTGAATTAATTTGGGGTTACTGATAAGTCATTTGTGGGAATCCGGTAAGGGCTTTGTTGCCTCTGGTGGCGGTAGCTGTGGTGGTGGTGGCGGCGGCGGCACCTGTGTGTGTTTGTGTGTGTGTGTGTGTGTGTGTGTGTGTGTGTGTGTGTGTGTATACCATACTTTTGTGTGTGCACAATGCTTTAGCATGTGTAGTGTGCATGTACACAATGATTGAGTGTGTATACCAAGTATGCACAATGCTTGAATATGTGTATGTATGCCATGTGTGTATATAATGTGTAAATGTGTACGTGTACCACGCGTGTGCACAATACTTGAGTGTGTGTACTGTGCATGACTATGTATGTATATATACATGTGTGCACAATAATTGAATATGTGTGTGTGCACTGTGCATATGCACAGTGCTTGGGCATGTATATGAATACATGCACATTCATAGTGCCAAGAAACATCTTTTGGCAAAGACAAATTCTAAGAAATCCTACTCTGAATCTGATTCATTAATAGGCAGCTAATACTGACATTTTAAATTTCCTTGTAGGAATCTCTGTTCTCCCCTCCCCGCTTTAAAATTCTCGGTGTATTTTAGGAATGATGTCTGTTTTCTTTTCCCACGGGCGGCTGGTGTAACATTGCCTGTTCTGTGTAATAGCTCAGCAGAACCCTGCAGCTCAGCTCCCTGCCAGGCAGCAGGAGATTGAGATGAACCGACAGCAGCGTTTCTTCCGAATCCCGTTCATCCGCCCGGCTGACCAGTACAAAGACCCTCAGAACAAGAAGAAGGGCTGGTGGTATGCCCATTTCGACGGACCGTGGATTGCTCGGCAGATGGAACTCCACCCTGACAAGTCACCCATCCTTCTTGTAGCTGGTGTGTATAATTCACAGGAAAAAAAATCAGACAAAAAGGGATGATAAAGCCTTGGATGAAACATTCTGATATATAATGTAATAAGTCAGTCACTGGGTTTCAGAGTTGAATGACAGAGCCTTGCAGTTCAGTTGCAGTTCTGGTTGACGGAAGATTAACTGACTGATTTACAAAGCAAAATTGGTTTTATGCCTGTTTAGAAGAACATAAAAATATGTTCTAAGAACTTGTCATTGGTGTTTAATTCTGTCTCTAGTTTTATACTGGCTTTTTCGTATTAACCCTGATGACTTCTTTGATCAATGGTGGGGGTTTATAAATTTTGAGAACCCTTAGTAGGGGCAAATTTAAGTGATTTCTGGAGAACTTAATAAGATTTCCATCTTAGAGAAATAGTTATAGGCTCTCAAATCTGTGAGAATTGTTAGGTGTTCCAGGAATAGCACTCATAAAAATGCTGTGCAAAGAGATGGTAATTTTGTGATGTCTCCTGTCTGCAGGCAAGGATGACATGGAGATGTGTGAGTTGAATCTCGAGGAGACGGGTCTGACTCGGAAGCGTGGTGCTGAGATCTTGCCCAGACAGTTTGAAGAGATCTGGGAGCGCTGTGGAGGCATCCAGTACCTTCAGAGCGCCATCGAGAGCAGGCAGGCCCGGCCCACCTATGCCACGGCCATGCTGCAGAACCTGCTCAAGTAGACCGCGGGCTCCCAGCCCCGCCCTGGCCGCACAGGCAGGGAGGTGATCAGAAGGCTCACCATATCCTTGCTCCCTGTAGAACGCCTTATGCAAAGTGAACAGGTTTTTATTAATCATGGAGTTTGTTAATTTGTTCAAGGTTAATTAAGGTTGAGGTAGTGGATTCAGGACCAAAAAAGAGAATAGCCCTGATCCCAGCGGTGACTCCGGCTGTCCTCCTGCCTTCTGCACGGGGACAGCATCCATACTTCTCACTCTCTGCACACTGACGACCTTAAGTCCGTGGTGATTATTGTCAAGGATGAGCCTTTTTTTAAATTTCAAAATATTTAATTTTTTTTAAAAGGATGACACAGTGCCTTTATAACTGGGGTAATGAAATCTTAGCTTAATTTTGTGCAAGAATTAAGGTACTTAAAATGATTAAGGCACAGAAGTTTTGGGTCTAAAAGTTGCATTTTGTCTGCTTTCTCAGAAACCCATGGAAATGGATTTACCTCTTCCTGCAGTGTGCTTAGCCTGAGTGAAGCCCGAGTTCTAGATTCTGGAAAGAGCCTTAATGTATAGAATGTATTACATGCAGAAGAGGTGCTGGGCATATGCAGCATCGACGTAGGGCGCTTTTCGCCAAGCTCTGTGTTCCTCTTGGAATCTCCTAATTCATGGTTGAGTCAAAGCAATGCAGATCATTTGAATGACTGGAAGTTCTGATACAGCGTTGTTTCATTTTGGAAGGGGGTACAGGGTGAGGTGGTGCTGTGACCTTACCGGACCAAATTCAGATCCCGTCCCCACCCCATCTCAACTGTAATTTTTCAGTTCAAACCTTGTCTAAGTTATTTCCTGTGATTTAAGCTGATGTACTGCTTCAGACTTTTCTCGTCCCTGTCCCTTTTCTGGGCATCTGTTTTGGTCTTTGAAATGTGGTAATTGTAGGGCTGTTTTGTAAACTTGGTAACTCAGAAGTCCTTGTACCGAGGCAGGGCTTGTTTCATGCTGCAGGCGGTTTTTAAAACACTCCTTCTGTGTGCTGTTGGTCCTGATCAGATGTCAGCAGCTGGAGCTTATATTTATGACTTTAATATTAGGAACTTAGAGACAAAACCACATCAAGGAGTTATGGTGACGCCCAAAGGAGTCTTTGTTTGTATTTTAGAATAAAAGTAGAAAGTAAAATTATTCTTTACACTCCCTTTGTTTTTAAATACCCTAACCTTTGAAATTTCAGGGGGGTTTTTTTCTTTAGAAAGATACCTCAGTTAGGAAATATCTACCAGCTGATGAGATTAATGTGTAGCAGCCGCAGATTCTTTTGTCACATGCTCCTCTCAAAATGTCTTAGTACTGAAGTACTTATTTATTATGATACTGTGGAAATGATTGTTCTGTGTTAAGGAAGTTAAATGGCCCTACCTATACTAATAATTGAAAATGTGAATGGGGTTTTCTTCTGGAGCTTGTCTTATTGCTTAGACTCATACAGCATTCGGTCATTTGGTGATTGGTGGCAGAAGGTGTAGTTCCTGAAATAAACAACCTATTTTTTCTCTTTCATCTCTCCCCTGTGATTGGTGTCTTTATTTGTGCAGGATAGCAAATAAACTTTATTTTCTAATCATCAATGAGTAGTATAGTCTTTGAAAAAAATCTGGGGGCCTAATTGATTGTTAGTGACTTATCAGCTCAGCACTATTTTCTGAAGCACTTTTATGTATCTTCTGGATCCGTAAATTAGCACTAGATGAAAAATTAATCAAAAAGTGGAAATTATTATGACAGAATTTAAAAATTTAAAAAAATGTATAGGAAATATAGGTCAGCAAAACATTGTTGAAAGGTTTTTTTTTTGTGTGTGTGTGTGTGGATTTTGACTTTGGTAATTCTACAGTTAACTGTCAAACCGTTTTCTTCCTAATGATGTCACCCAGTTGTCCTACAGTTTTTCTGTTTCAAGTGTCTCCTGAGTTAATTTTGCCAAGCAGGAGAACTGCCCTAATTCAGGCAGGCCTTGAGCCTTCTACATGTCATAGCATAGCACTCAGATCCTTCCAGACACACTTCAGGACATCATTTTTGGGGACACAGCAGAAACGATGTTCTACAAGATGCTGATCCAGCTTCTCTTCCAGGTTTTGTAGGTTCAGATCCACAAAGGCTGTGCAAGAACTGGGGGTACCCAAGTCAGTTAACTCCTATTTCAATCAACCACTTAAAACGATAACTTTAGACCCATATGCTACACATGAAGAAATAATTCCTCTAGTGCTTTTCAGTTCCAGTTTCTTCCAGAGTGTGTACACTTTCATAGAATGTGGAGCCATGCCGGCAGGTGTTCCCCTGTTGGATTCACTTGTGACACAGTGTCCGAGGCCAGCAGCACAGATGAGATGTGTTAGGAGGGAGCTGTGCTCTCAGCGAGAACAGGGAGTTTCTAGAGGCCCGGTGTGTTCAAAAGCTGCAGCCCCTCACTGTCAGGAGTCAACACCCGTACAGGAGTATGCAAAGAAGCAAAATGACTGTGAGCAGCCTGCCCTAAAGGGTCCTGGTGAGACAGGGTCTCACTCTGGCCTGGACAAATGTCTTCACAGGCCAGGGCACCCTCTTGTTTCACAAGCAACCAAGGAAACAGCTTAAGGCAAAGCTAGGAGACGTTTGTGAGATTTAGACAGGACAAAGCACAGGCAAAATAATAGTAAGAACAGCTACTTACTACAGGTGATCTTTATTATTTGGGTTGCTTTTTCTATGCTGGGGATTGAACCCAGGTCTTCACACAGGGTAGATTCTGTCATGGAGACACCTCCATGGCCTTTAGCTGGGTACTTTTGGAAGATAGTTTTACTCACAGGTTATTAATATGGTTCTCAGGGGATTCAAATATGTAGACCTTTGGTTTCTTAAAATAGCTTTAGGATACTTGGATCAGCAGAATATTTATTGAACTAATCAGTCAGTTAATACTAAATTAATGAATGATAGTCTTACTTCCTTACATGGAAAAAAAAGTTGTAGAAAGCCAGGGAAGTCATACAATTTGCTACTTGACCATGAAAAAATATATATATGCCTTTCCTCCAGCTGTGTAGCAAAAAGAGTGAAAACAATGTTTTGTTGGTGTAGCCAATCCCAGGAGACTTACAAGTGGTTGTTCCTGTATTTCCCCGTTTATCTTTAACATTGGTTAAGAAGTATTGAGTTTTAATTTCTCCCAGAAGATACACTAACAGCGGGGGAGGCAAGGGCAGAGGACATTTAACAATGAGGATAAGGATGAGGGTGTGGGACAGTGATAATCGTAAGGGCAGTTGTGGAGGAGAAGGGAAATTGTGCATCCCCTGAAGATGGCACGTCAATTGGGAAACACTGAGACAAACCCTCCTGGGTCCTTGCTGAGTTGTAGGATGCATTTGGTACAACTCACGGACAGACCTTAAGGCTAGTGAGCTTGGATGTCACGTCACCTGGTGTGGAGAGCTTAGCAGGTAAAAATGGTGTAGCTGAACTGGAGGTGCCCAGGAAAGACCGTGGCATCCTGGACACGAGCCTCATGCGAGGGTAGGTAGAGGCTGCCCATGTCAGTGCCTCATCTTTTGACTACTTGTGGCAATTCACACCAGTGTCTTTTTTCTCCAGCACTAACCTATGTATGAAGTAACTTTGATTCTTGGAAGTTTCCCAGGAGATAATTAGGGAAATTTAATGCACATTGAAAACTGCATAATCTTTAATCTTAATTTTCATAAAGAAACTCAACTTCAAGCTACAAACAGGTTTATTAAGTGGCCACTTTTCTTTTCACTTCTGGAAATTTGTCTATTTGTAATTGTTAATTTTTCTTCATGAAAAGCGTGTATCTAATACTTTCTTAAAATATCAATGTACCAGAAACTCAAATAAATGCCTTATATGTAGAACACCTGTGTGTGTCGTATGCTTTTTAATACAGGGTGTGAAATGTCCCACTATTGGTAAATCTCAGGCATGGTGTCTTGGGGATAGAATCCCTGCTAGGTGGCTACATGGAGAGTCAGGCATTCCAGGAGATAGGCAGGGCTGTGTGTGAGCTACTAAACCCATTTGAAACTGGAGGCAAACCAGCCTTGGATGTCTCACCCCAGACTCTGACAAATCTGTGAGAAGAGAACGTTTGTAAAACCTGGTGACCCAGAGAAGAATCCACCCTAAGGTTCTGAATACCACCAGTCTGTATAACTCTACGAGGAGTGTGGAATCTTCCATGCTCCTCCTAGTGGGTCTTTGAAAGGGAAGGAGACCAGTGTCCGTCTTCACTGCTTTCCCCCAGATGTCAAAAGATGGATGAGCCACAGAGTAAGAAGCATTTAGCCTAAAATGGGATGCCTCCCCGCATTGTGTAGAATGTTTCACCTGAGTAGCAGCTTCTCTGTAAAAACCTGTCCTGCTCTGCTTAGCACAGGACTGAAATGTGGATGAGAGGGCTGGGATTGGAAGGGGTGGATAACTCTCTTTCCTTATGTAAGCATTTCTCGTGCTGTGGTTGGCCACATGCTTTTACAGTTCTGTTTGCATTTGGGATGTTCCAGGGAGATGGGATTGGGCCAGTCTATCCTTGTTATTCATTATTCCCCCCTCTGTGACTTTGTCACCACCTGCCAATTTGACATCCTTATCCAGGTATATATCTTCATTTGTGGGAAGACCGGAGTAGGAGTTGGGTGAAAACTCCTCATTTGTGAGACCAGTGGGAAGGAAATTAAAAGTCCTATATCCCTTCTCCATGGGAGAGAACCACTTTTCAAAATACTCTCTCCAGCATGAGGAAATACTGTGATTTTGTTTTGGTAGTTTCTCATTAAATGTTATCAGTGTCTACTGTTTTGTTGTCTTAGAAGTGTTAAAATAACCCACTTAAGTCACTTATCACATCCGTGGGATGACGAGTGACATATGGATTCATTTTACTATAAATCTATGAGTATAGTACTTAACATTATTAAACTCAAGATTTGCCCCAAATATATTTGACAACTGGACATTTGAAAGAGATGTGGGGATAGGAATTTTTCATCCAGTAGCACATTAAATGCTGAACTGTATTTCATTGGTGCCAATATAGATACATACAGGACAGTTTGAAGACATCGTTCATCTGGTGGAAAATGGGTACATTATGTCATATTATACGTCTTCACCGTGTTTTCCTTCAAAACCCTCCTTTGGGTACCAACAAGAAGAGTAAGATTTTCCCATGATGTGTGTATCTGAGCCTCAGTTTCTCTTTCTTTTGAAGAGCAATTCAGAAATCATTGTCAACAAAATTACTACCTAAGCAAGAACTGCTTATACAAAACCAGAATGCCTAAAAACTAGAGAGAGCTGGGTGGAGTTGGGGGGAGCAATGGGGAGAGAGAGAAACACACACACACACACACACACACACACACACACACACACACACACACACACACACGAATGCAGGTGAGGAAGGAGGAAGGAACTGTAGTGTAGACCATAAATATAGTCATCACAGTGCTTGATACTACATTCATACGTGAGAAACCTGACCCTCACACAAGTGATCATCTTTAAAATTACAATATTTTTAAAATTTAGATTTTAAATTTTATGTGTATGAGTGTTTTGCCTGCCTTCATGTATGCAGACCACATGCCAGCCTGGTGCCTGCAGTAATCAATTGGAAGAGAGTGTTACATCCCCTGGAACTGGAATTATGAATACTCGTGAACTGCCTTGTTGGTGTTAGGAACTGAACCTGAGTTCTCTGGAAGAGCAACAAGTAGTCTTAACTACTGAGTCATCTCTGAAGCCTGCCTCCTCACTCCCAATTAAAAAAAGTAATTAAAAATTGTGTGGGTGAATTTGTTTGTGGTTATATGCACCTGAGTACAAAGGCCAGAGGAGGGTGCTTGGGTTCTCCGGAGCTGGAGTGGCAGGTGCATGTGAGCTACTCAGTGTGGGGGTTGGGATCTAAACTCAGGTCCTCTGAAAGAGCAGTATACAATTTTAACTATTTAGCTATCTTTCTAGCCCAAATGACAATCTTATAAATGACTATTCTCATATATAAAAAAATCTGATCCCTGATGCTATACAACCCACAAAACAAGTTGCACTTGTTGGAAATAAGCTTTAAGTAATAATTTAAAGACAGAAACAGGCCAACCTGTGTGTGTTTTTTTTTCAACTTGAGTAACATACAAAAATAGTCAAAATGTGTTCCACTGACTTCTTTGAGTTTTGACTAAAATAATGTACCCTCTTCAAGGTTTAACCAGTTATCAAATACATGCCTATTATAGCTGAAACATGTTGGTTCTCAGTGTTAACTACATGCCTAGATTCCAATGACCACTGCCTCCATTTTTCAGAAGTTAACAGAACAGATGCAGTTTTCTTTAAGAAAGGAAGTTGCCTTCCAACATACTTCAAAATATAATGTGTATGTTTTCAGTTTTTAGTTTCCTTCCCAATCCTGGTGGTCAAATTCTTCAAGTCCTTTAGCAGATAGTTTATAATTTCTTTTCTTGACTACCTGGAAGACAAAGAGTTTTATT